CAGTCCACCCGCAGTTGTGTTTGTTCGAGTGACACGTCCAAAGAACTTTGACGTGCTGCCTCGAGATGGATTGCACGACTCCCTGCCAGCTGACGTGTACCCCGTGTTCATGTTCAAGCCTCAGGGATCAACTGAGGTTACGTTGACGCCTGGCCCTGGTGGTTCAAAACGAACACTGAAGCTAAACTTGCAGCAGTTGCCGTTTGTCAACGCAATTGCTTCGACAATCTACAAGATCCAAGGCGAGACAATGGAATCCCTTGTTGTCGCGGATTGGAAAGCACGTGGCTCCAAGTTCAATAAGGTTGTCAACACGTGCCAACAAGGATACATCGCCATCTCCCGATTGACCAAGCGTGATGGGTTTTCAGCACTGAAGCCGATCACGAATGAGTGCATCCGGTACTTTCAGCCGAGCAGCGACACGATTGCAGAGAACTTGAGGCTCGAGAAACTGTTTGCGGTCTATCTGTCCCGCAACGAAAACACTGCCGTATTCAGCTCCGGTGATTTCAACGCCTTGAAAACGACTCTACCAGCCTCAGATGCAGTCGCTCCACTGGCCAAACGCAAGCTCTGTGTTTTGGATCTCATGGAGAGCACTCCCGCAACAAACATGCTTTCAATGGCTCAACTAAAGCGGAGTGTATTGGATCGCATGGAGAAGAGCCCATTTGAAGTTGCAAGGGCCCCACCAAAGTCAAGTGTTTTGGGGCTGATGCAATGACCACAGTTTAGTAATCACAGTTCAAATGCAAGTGTGGGGAATGTAATCAAGAATAGTCTAATTTGACTGATATTCTGTACAGTACAACTGTACTCTTCCTGAGTTCACTACAGTACTACGTAGTACTACGTAGTACATAGTATTGTACGTACAGTAGATTGTACTAGTATATGCTAATCAAGTGAAGTGTGTAGTCCACGCGGATGTACAGAATGGAGTAATTTTCAGTTAACCTTGCATTCAAAGGAAGGACTGGTGCATCCGATGAGAGCATGATGCCAGTACTTTTTCGAGTACTACTAGGAGTAGTAGAAGGACAAAATTTGATACCGCATAGAGTAAGCTTACAGTTAATGATTGCAATGCGTATACTTCGTTGTACTACAGTACAGTACTTCGTAGTACAGAACAGTACCTGGTACTGCAAAAGGACGATATTTGACACTTTATATTCTGCAGTACAGTACATGGTACTGATACAGTATTAGTACTTCTATTCACAGTTAATAGTACCGTACAACTACTAAGTAGTAGTACTACTACTTAACAGGTATTAATAGTACAGCAAATAAGTACTAACGTAGATGGCCAGTTTATGGTGCACTTGAAAGAGAATTCGTTGTAGAATGCAGCTTACTCGTCTCCCAGGACCGGGATTTCAATTCTGAAAAGTGCCGCATGAAGCCGAAAGGTTGTGCATTCTTCTGATTATTTAATCGGCTTGAATAGACTTCCGCTTAGCGTTCATTTACTTCGATTCCACTCAAGTCAAGGCAAAATAGGAGGGACGGTTTATGGTGCACTGTTTAAGCTTAAAATATGTATGCTGTTTTTGCTTATTTTTTAGTTATTTCATTTTTCTAGTGATTCAATTGGCTACTCCAAAAATTAAGCAATTTTACTGGCCAATTTGAAAGCACCTTCAACTGTCTCGTGCACCATAAACTGGCCATCTACGTTATGATGATTGATTTTCACTGTGTTTCCTCATAATTTTATCAAGCTACGTAGTATATCTGATTTATAGGAGAATTATCCATAGACAAAGGTTTGTACAAATGCA